GAAATAACAAGATTAATAGAAGAATTTATCTTATTTTCAATATGGATAGAAGTTATTCAGATTATATTAATATAATAGATGAAGTAGAAAATATAGAACAAGTATTAATAACTGATAATAAATGTATCAAAGTATGCTATTTTGTTTTAGAAATACTTAAGCTAGGAATACAATATCACAAAAATAAAAATGTAAATATTAATATAAATGGTAAAAAAGAAAAAGAAAAACAAAAATAAGACAGGTTTAAGTGTTTCTTCAACAAATGAAGATAGCGGAGAAATTGTTAAAGAAACATGAGTTATTGAGTTTTCTTGTCCGATGTGTAAAAGGATGTTAGAGATAAAAAATGAATTAGAAATAAATAATAACAAAAATTGTAAATGTTCATGTATTCCAACAAGTTTCAATACTAGTAAAAATGAAAAGAAAATGAATATTGATAAAACTAAAGACAATATCAACTTAGAAACTGATGTCCATAATATAACTTTTAAATGGGGTAAGGATGCATCACTCTCGGATAATAATGAAAACGAAACACAGGAAACTATTAAACAAATGATGAAAATAGTATTTAAAGAATAGTTTTAACATATTTGCACTTTATAAATATATAATTAAATAAATAATTATCTAAATAAATATATAATAATGTCTGAAAATGAAAATTATACTATTAATGATTTAATGAAGAAGATAACATTAATTGGTAAAAATATCAAAACCTTAAACGATATGATTAAATCCATTGATGAACAACTTAAACCAGTTGAACGCGAACAACAAAGCAACGAAGAGAAGGAGAAAATCGAAAGAATATTTCAAGCAAAATCCATCGGGAGGCCGTCAGGCGACTACCCTACAAAGCAAAAGAAATACTGTGAAATGTTCAATAGTAATAAAATCAAACAACCAAAGCAACAAACATTAGAGTTTGATAAACTTACAAAAAATGATGATGGAGTATATGTATTAATTGAATAATTAATATTTAAATAATTCTAATAAATGAATTTATTAGAACTATTTAGCGGAACAAAAAGCGTCGGAACCATAGCAAAGTCGCTTGGATTTAATGTAATTTCATTAGACTTGAAAAATGCCGATATCAACACTGATATTTTGGAGTGGGATTACACACAGTTTGACAGAAACCATTTTGATTTTATTTGGGGTAGTCCCCCATGCACTGAATATAGTGTAGCAAAAACTAGGGGAATTAGGAATATCGAATATGCAAATAATATTGTCTTAAAAACTATTGAGATTATCAAATATTTTAATCCTAAATATTTTGTAATCGAAAATCCACAAACTGGATTATTAAAAAAAACAGGAGTTTATGGATGAGTTTGAATTTAAAGATGTTGATTATTGTAAATATGGATTTAATTACAGAAAACGCACTAGGCTATGGAATAACATTACAACTTGGAAACCCAGACATTTATGTAAAAAGGATTGTGGCAACATCAGGAATAATAAACATATTGAAACAGCACAACGGCTTCCATCAGGCACTAAGGAAAAATGGGGAGACAATCCAATAATACATAAACAGGAAGATTTATACAAAATACCTAGCGAATTAATTTTGAAATCTTAGTGAGCTTGAATTAGGGGGAGTTCATCACAACATCCACCATCATTGCATTCATCGCGCATCGGCGATCTCGATGCGGGAGACGGTTCTGTCTGGGTCGGTTGCCACTCCTTGCCCCCTGAATCCCGCGGGCTTGTTGCGCTTGGTGCTCCAATCGGCTCCGCGAGCAGCCGCTCCGGGCGCTCGAGTCACGGTCAACTCACGCCTTGCGGACATGAACCTCCCAGTCGACCGCCTCGATGACCGGCCCCCCCCCTTGGAATGGAGCTCAGGTAGCGGTCAGTACCACGTTGGTCTCGCCTCTCTCCTCTTTCGGCGAGCCCCGCAGACACGTTGGCCGCGTTGAGCGAGGCCCGTCGCCGGAAGGAGCGCACCTACCCGGAGCTGCTGCGCTCCCAGCGGTGCCGCCTCGTCGTGCTTGCCATCGAGGCCGGGGGCCGGTGGAGCCCTGAAGCGCGCAGCTTCCTCCGCAGCCTCGCTCGTGCGCAAGCTCGCTCCACGCCGGCCCTCATTCAGCCTTCAATCGTCTCCGCTTTCGTTGCCGTTGGTCCGCCTTGCTCGCGTCTGCCGCCCACCAGGCCTTCGGCTCTGTCTCGCCTGGCCAGTCCAACTGTGACGGCGACGCTCCGCCACTCAGTGAGCTCCTTGCGGAGGCCGCCGTCCCCTGCCCCTTGCAAGCCGCTTGAGCAGGTGAGGACACGGGCCTCCAAAAAACAGCGGGAGTGCCCCTAGTGCCTGGGGGACCCCCTTAAGCAGGGTTTCCGACTCGTGCTGATGCAAAAAAAATGAGCATGATGATGAAAATGATGATGACAATGGATGATGATGATGATGATGATGATGATGATGATGATGATGATGATGATGATGATGATGATGATGATGATGATGATGAACATGATGATGAAAGTGATGAACATTGATGAAAGTGATGATGGCATCATCATCATCATCATCATCATCATCATCATCATCATCATCATCATCATCATCATCATCATCATCATCATCATCATCATCATCATTATTTTCGTCATCATGTTCATCATCACGTTCATCATCCAAACGTGGCGCTCTTCTTTTTCATATACGTTTCAAGTGTGCCGATAGACCCGACTGGAAGTGCAGAGAACCCCCCCCCCCCCAAAACGCCTTAAAAAAGGGGGGTAAAGCCAGCACCGCCAAAACCAACCACATTGCAAAATGCAGACCCGTTCTGTAAAAAATGAAAAGATGCGCAGTCACAATCCGCACCTGCCCCCTTCAGAGTAATGCAGAGTGCAAAGAAACGCGCCAAGATTCGCCTCCTCATTCACATTTGTAACAAAAAATGGAATCCCCCCGCCTGCTAGACCAGCGCGGCATCCCTCGCGAGTCGCGCCAAGCATAATTCGGAGGGCTTGGAGTACAAAAGTCCGGACAACGTCAGCCCCCGCACGCCAACCAAGCTCTGCAACATGGATTGGCAACTGATCCTGTCAATCGAAACAGTGGTTGCGCCCGGGTCAAGCTCCAGACGGCCGCAAGGAATTGCACAACGCGCTCAGCACGGGCTGGCAAGGGCGGCAGGCCGGCCTTTTGTTGCGGCGACCAAGAGACTGGTGAACTCATCAACAAGAATGCCTCTGACTCGGCCATTGGGCTTCTGATAAGCAAGGCGGGCTGTGGCGGACGACCAAACTGGTCGGATGCCCTTGTCATCCGCGGGCGACCTCGACAGTGTGCGGAAGGTGGGGCGGCACAGGCTGGAAAGGACAAGCTCCAGAAGGCGTATGAAGGCGTGCTGTGGAGCTGGAAATCCGAAACCTCGGGGCTTGCGGGCCACCAACGCTTGCCCGAACAGTGAGAGCTCGCTTAGGTGAGCGCTCGGGTGGGAAGGCGGCTGGACTAGCCGTGCCTCTCGCCCGCATTGAAGGCGCCGATGCAAGCCAGTCTTGCTTGAACTCCGGTGTAACAACAGGCGGGGCAACAGGAACCACAACGTCCAGGCTCGCATGGACGCTTCCGTGCTGGCACCGGCTTCGAGGCTAGCGGAAAGAGCGAAAAGAAGGCACAATCTGAAAGGTAAAGGCAAGTTCCTGGAGCACCTGGAGCAAGTCTTCGGAATCGAGGCTGGAAAGGGCAAGCGCGGCCGCAACAGGGACTGGGCCGGGTCGTGCCGGGCTGTTTTAGCGGGGGCTGCTGCGGGGGTTGTCGGCTGGGCGGTCACTCCATGGCCCGGGAGAGGTTGTGCAGAGCGAAAACGGTCGGCTGCTGCGCGATCTCGGCAGATCGCCGCTTTCCTGAGCGGTTGCAGGGATGTACTCATTTGAGAAGGAGCACTGCTCGGCCGCCCAGGCCAGGAAAACCGAACACGGGCGCCAAGCCCGAAAAGGCAAAGATCGCCTCGCTGGGATGCGCGATGTTTTGACACCACCTCAGAAATGTCCCCTCCTTATACTGCTCTGATCCCTTGGTCGCTTTGCGTTTGAATGGAGTTTCCGAGAGAAAGATATTCGGCTGGGCAGCATTCAACACACGCATTGCTCTGTGCGGCGTGTCCAACTCCTGCGCGACAATTGACTTGCACCCCAGCTCGGAGGGAGTTTGGCTGTCCGTTCTAGCCCGGCGCATCCCTTTCAGGATGCGAAGCCTCGTTCCGAGCTCCTGTGATCGCTGTGGCCCTGTCTGCAAGGCCAGACGCGGCAACTCGCCCGCTACACCCACTGCACTATAAACGCGTAATGCGCTGAAGCTTTGGACGCGCAGGCTGACGGTGGTCCAATCCCTACACTTTTTGGACGCCCGGACAGTGCGGCAGGGTCACGATGCCGTATTGTCAGCTCTGCATTGATGACGCTTATATATGGCTGCAGGTAATTCCTCAGCCCCACATTGACCAGCCCGTGCTGAGCGCAAGTTGATTTGCGCGCGAAGGAGAAAGAAAGAGAGAGGGAGTAGGCGAGAGAGAGGGGGAGGCCCAGAGCCGAAGAGACTTCCAGCCAACTCTAGACCTTTGGAGCCATGACGGATCTTCCGCTAAGATATCACAGCGCGCCCGTACGGCGACGAAACTGCTGCCATTGCAGAGCGCCAACGAAGACCAAAGCCGACGGTTCCGGACTTGGCCGCGCTGTCAGATCGCAACGAAGAGATCTTAACGCCTTGCCGCCTTGCTTTCAAATGATACGTGAGCGTGGCGCGCACCTGAACATCGACGCAGAGGCTCTAAATTCAGAACGCTTGAGCTAATTCTCCCGCGTCGCTTGAGTCACTATATCGCCCCTCGTTGCCCATCCTCTCCGGTCAGTCCATCTGGTGGTTCTGGCCCGTGCTTGTGCAGCCCGTCTTGCAGACTCTTCCGATGACGTCTTGCGGCACTTCAACCCTCCCGAACATAACTCGAACACGTTTTCTCCCATCGGAGTAGGCCAATCTGGGCCAAAAAGACCGGGTCGCATGCTTTCGATGCTCTATGCCTGAATCTAGCCACGCTGGCTTTGCAGCGGGCAATTCTGTGAGACCAGACTCAGCGCGCCTGCAGTGCAATCGTTTGGCGCAAAGCGTCAACGCGGCGCACAGCTTGATGCGTCTCGCAACCCCGGCCGTCGCGGCCTGCAGCGGACGCTGCGTCCCAAAGAAGAGCCACGTGGACGAGATGCCTGAGGTCAAAGAGGTCAAAATGGCTAAAGTATGCTAAAACGTGAAATGTGAAGCCGCCTGCTGCCATTGGGAATATTTTGCAGTGTATGGTGAACACAACATCATCTTCCATCTGGATCAAATCTTGGTACCTGCATTGATAGCATTGCGCAACAACGCATCAACGCAACAAGGAAGTTCGGGCAAGCAACTCTGGCGCAGCCATCACATAGTCGCGGATCAAGTCCTCAATCGAATCAACTCCGGCTGGCCCTGGCACAACCCAACGGCCTTGTCCGCGCTACTGAAGTGCAGCGGAAAGCCCGAAAACTCCTGCATTGGGAGTGTGACAGATGATGCAGATCTTGATCTTTGGGAAGCAGCGCTCCTTGCCCTTCATGGTGGGGAACACGGACTTGCCTCAAATGCGACCGAGTCAACAGGCCTTCAAACCGAAATGCTTCACTCAGAGCGCAAACATGCTTCATCAAAAGGCCTTGAATTGCCCCCCCAATCAATTCTCGCCTGCGTGGAAGCTCTTGATCCTTACCAGAACGTGATGCCAGCCCTTCTCCTCCTGAGCCTTGCTCAAAGGCGCGCTTTCACTGGAAGAAACAAGAAGCAATAAACGCCTGGATTGCTGAGTAGTATCTGTACTTGCCGCGCCTGAGAGTCACGGCTTGGCTCAGACTCTCTCGTCTCTGAGGCCGTGGCTCGTCCGCCTGCTTGAAGGCCGTTCCCAGCCTGTTGCACCGCTCCTAAGCGAACGGGCATGCATGCGGCATGCAGCCAGCTCCGGAGATATCCGGAGCCTTCCGTCCTGAAAGCGGGGAGCCAGAATGTCCGCCAGCTGGCTTTCTTCAAGGCTCCATTCGGCGCGGTCCTAGACTCGACGCTCGACACACTCAACAATCACTCGACACACTCGACACACTCGGGACGCGTCCTTCTCGAAAATCGGGCAAAAGTCCAGGTCTAACCCTGCAACCTCCTCGTGAATCTCCAGGAAGCTGTCCAGCCTGGTGCTCGGCCCGCTCTTTCCTTTTGAATTATACGAGCCCCGTGAGAGCCCCGTGAGAGCCCCGTGAGAGCCCGGCTGTTGCAGCAATTGGGGCCGAAGATCAAAGTTCGTCTCCTTGCCATTCCTCCCGCGGAGAAGGCGGAGAGTCTCCTCGCACGGGATGCCCTTTTTCCGAGAACAATGTTACGGAGGTGCACTGCGTCACAAGGTCCATGTCTAAGTCGAAACAGCTCGGGAGGAAGATCACGCACTGTTCGGCATTGAAATGTTCAAGGAAACTCTGTCCTCATTGAGGGCCACCAGCTGGTCGCACATCTTCCGAACTTGGGGAGGCTTCATTGGTGCCTCCATGAGGATGTTTTGGGTGACGTAGTTGATCTCGTGCTTGGAGCGCTCCTCGTCAGACATCAACGTCATCCAGGCACCCTCGCCTTCTTCTTCGGTCACCGGAAAGGAATCCTCAAAGTTGTAGGTGATACATGCTGGGTGATGATTCTGGCGATTGGCCCAGAGCTGGCGCGTGTTGAAGGCCACGTCGACCGAGTCGTAAGGCAGCCAATCCACCAAGGTCCTGTCTGCCAGCAGCTGCTGCTTGGGCGCGACGGGCAGCAGAGCTTGCGTTTCCAACATCTGCTGCCGCACCATGTCGCGGCCCGCCGCCTTTGCCTTGGCGCGCTGCTTGGGTCGAGGGCCTCGCACGTCCGTGGCCACGTCACCTTCCACGTCGACGCGGATATCTTGGACCTAGGCTCGGGCTGCTCAGGAACCGTTGAACATCGTTGAACCGCAACTAAACCTGCGAGTTGGTGCCCTTTCAACATTGGCAAGGCAACTTGGGGCTCGCTTGCGCGAGAAACAATTCACATTTCCAGCCAGGGCCTCGTAACTCACTCGTTCTAGCGGTTGCAAGTTGTCATCTTCCTCATCCTCCTCTTTCTGCTGGACCTCCACAACTGCCTCTTTTTGATCCAGCTTCTTCTGCTTGATCCAGCGATTGGGCAAGTGATAGAACTCGCAGGTGGAAGGCTCCCAAAAGGTCACCCAACCACCATCCTCCCTCGTCATCACCCAAACATGCTCCACCAGGCGAGGCTTGCCATCGTTCACTCGAATGGTTCCCTTCACCACATAGGCATCTCGGCTCATCCCCAACAAAACCGAGCACAGCAGTATGGCGTGATCTTGTGGAGTTCCCTGCCGGCTGAACAGCAAAAACTGTGGATCTTTCCACATGTCTTGAGTGATCCTGCCGGTGCGCTCTTGTTTCACCGACATTCTGAAGGTGATGCAATTCATCCAGTGGAGCAGCTTCGCTGGCTTGATGTAGTCCTGGCTCACAATGACCTCGGACAAAAACGCCATCAACGGGAGGGTCTCCAGGTTCATCGGGTGCGCGCCCGTGCACGGGAAGCTCCGCACCTCGCTGGGCCCGGGCCCAATGGCTTTGCACCTCTTGGCACCGATGGAGTCCGGGAAGGGACCCGCAAAGTACTCCGCGAAGGCCTCGTTCCGCTTCAGAAACTCCGCGTCCTTAGCCTTCAAAAGGGAAGGAGCATCATTGACGTGTATGAACATGAACATGTGTGAACATGTGTGAACATGTATGAACATGATCGTGGCTTCTGTATGATCATCCCTTATTATCTGTTTTTCGTGTGCCTCCCGACCTTCCCGGTTTGGACTCTTTGAAACAGTGAAGCTCGCCTGCCAGTCCAGCTCCCCTGCATGGTCGTCCATGTGCTCGTTCATGTGCTTGAAGTCCACAGGCCAGGCAGGGTAGAAGTAGGCCTCGTAGTGCACGAGCGCCTGCTGCGGGTTGGCGATCTGGCACCCCACCAATGGCGTCCGGAATCCGTCGTACCACACCACCGGCCTCTCCACATCGTACCAGGACGACTCTTTGGGCTGCACGTCCAGCTCCTCTTCTTCACTCTGTTTGGCGCTCTCAGCGCGTCCACGAAGCGTACAATTGACCACAGTATTACCTGCGTTCAATCAATGACTCGGTTGAACAAATGTTGGTTCAAATCCGGAATGCGATTGCACAATGCAATGAAATACTGAGTGCGTACTAGCGTCTCCTCAAGACTGAGATCAAAGAAGCTGTGGTGAAGCCGAGAGATGTGGACGAAGCTTCGTCATAGTGCCACAGCTGAATTTGAATGTCACCCTTGGATTTCATTTCATAGAGGAAGGCTGTCTCCCAATACTTGCGGGCTGTGACCTTGTCGTTGAAGAAGCGCACAGGAAAGTAAAAGGTATGATTGAATACAGGCCGGAGCGTGTCCTTTAAAATGGCCGAGGTCTGCATCATGTTGTCCCAGCCTGAGCTTAAGAGCTTAAGCTGAGTTCGGACAGCCTGCAGTAATTGCCACTGGAGCACTTACCCGAAGAAAGGGGCTCGACACACCTTTGTCTTCGTCTGCAATGGCCAGGCCCTCGCACTTCTGAATTCGGATCACCAGGTGTATCTCTGAACCTGAGGCAACTCAACCTCACAGCCTCCAGCTCAATGCATTGTCAAAGCGCTGCAAGGAGCTTCACACTGCCAACCCCACCTAGACTCTTTCCTCTCGTCTGCAAGATGTTTCATTTCACCCAATTGGCGTCGGGTGCGCGGAGCGTGGGAAGCGTGGGAAGCGTGGGAAGCGTGGGAAGCGTGGGAAGCGTGGGAAGCGTGGGAGGAAGCGTTGGAAGAAGCGTGGGAAGAAGCGTGGGAAGAAGCGTGGGAAGAAGCGTGGGAAGAAGCGTGGGAAGCGCGGGAAGCGCAGGAAGCGGGGGAAGCGGGGAAGCGGGGGAAGCGTGGGAAGCGCGGGAGGAAAGAAGCGTGGGAAGAAGCGTGGGAAGAAGCGAGGGAAGAAGCGTGGGAAGAAGCGTGGGAAGAAGCGTGGGACGAAGCGTGGGAAGAAGCGTGGGAAGAAGCGTGGGAAGAAGCGTGGGAGGAAGCGTGGGAAGAAGCGTGGGAGGAAGCGTGGGAGGAAGCGTGGGAAGAAGCGTGGGAAGAAGCGCGGGAAGAAGCGTGGGAAGAAGCGTGGGAAGAAGCGTGGGAAGA